CGTTAGTCAAAGCCATTTCAGCACCAAGGACAGAGACACAGCTGACCCATCTTTTGGCGCCATGTATTCTTTACTTTACTTATGTCTGAAACTTGCGTATGTCTGAAACTTACTGCAAAGCCGTTACAGTCGAAATTCGTAAAGAGTTTGATAACAAAACCACATGTAACAGTATTCGTCGAACATTACAAAACTGGTTTTAGATTTTTCTACTGACAGACACAGTAGTGGACACGCTATAATAGTGTATAATACCCACCAGACCTCCCCTGAACTGTCAAACGTCAGGCCCATCATCTCCCGCTGGTCGTTGGATATGCTTTTCCATTCTATGGATCTGAAAAAAAGCAAAACGACTCATCAGGTCGTTCAAATATTTTGCTGGTTGATGTCATGACTATTTGTCACAAAGTAGCGCCATGTTTTTTGTGACTATATTGACCATAAAATTAGTTCTTCCACAGTATTTGGACCTCTCTCGTCCCACAATTGTCTGACTAACATTAGTAAATATTCGAAAGAAGCTCTAGTCGCTTCTCCTACGCTATACTGAAATAGAAAAAATAAATAAAAATACGGGTTTCCAAGAGAAAAAACTATGAATAGGTTTCTCTCCACCTACAGTAGAGGGACTTATGAAAATCGTTGGGAAGGTTTGTAAACAAGCTACAAATCCTTACTCTTCACTCCAAGGCCCCTTCCAGTCCACGTTCTCTCCGTGCGGACTGCGCAGTCGCAGTAGGGGAATCTCTCTGTCGTCACCCCTCGGTGTCCTAACCCTCACCTGCAGGGCGCATGTCACGGGTTACTTTTGACATGCAAACAGTTTTCAACAGAATCGTCCACAAACAACGATCAAGACAACAACTTTCGACAAAGTCTTGGCCACGCCGGCCTTTATTAGAAGTACTTCATTAAGCAGAAACTATGGATAGCCATAATATAAATCTTATAGAATATTGCAGACATAGAGTAGGGATTCAGTCTTATGATCAACACACAATCTTATGTTTTCCCAATATACAATGCACGAAAGAGATCGTACCTTGGCCAGTGCAGATATAGCGTAAGCCTGCTCGGCGTACAGACCGCTGGCCGTCAGCTTCCGCTGGGGCGGCTTTTCTGGCGACTGAATACAAGAAAAGTCACCTTATTAATTAGTTACTGAAAGCTAAAGTCTGATCAACGGTACATTATAAGTCATTAAAGTCTGATCAGATTTACATTTTAAAAATTGTTACTTTTAGTTTTATACTGATCCGCTTACTTCGTGCCGTGATTTCCTGAACTTAAATTCATCAATGATTAGCAGATTTAATTTTTCTTTCTCCCTGTGTTGATTTATTAGAAATCGTGTTTTGTTGTCACACAAAATACGACTGAATCTCACCGAGATGTAGCAGCTCAGCAGAGAATAGCGCTCGAACGCCTTCTGGATGAGACTGAAGAAGTGGTTGGGAAGTTTTTCCTTGAGAAAGTACACCTCTGAGATGCCCCCGGTCCAGTCCTCCACGGCGTCTGTTGTTGACAAGTCTCTCAGCGCCGCGTAGCTGCCGAGAAGTCTGCAGACGAAACATATATTGCAAGAAACTTCGGTCTGCTCTGTCCATCTGTTAACCATACGTGTGCATAGTCATGCCATCAAACTCAGACATATGTGAGTCTATATCATTAAGAATTTAGACACCCTAAAAACTCAACGTAATTTTGATATGATGAACGTATTCATAAGGGTGTTGGACAATGTCAATGAGGTCTTCTGTCTGTGAAAAAATTCATATTCCTACATCTGGCACAACGTACTTCGCGTAGGCCTTTTCCAGCAGCGACGCCCAGAAATGCCGCTTGGACACTGAGTGCGCGAACACGAGCTTTCCGTCTATGGTGGGCAGTCGGTCGTCCACGGCTACTTCTGTCCACCTGGAAAAAATAAGTGATCTCTTGTTGAGTCGAAAGATTTCCCTGTGAGTCACCAATAGGCACTTCTGATGTTGACCAGAATTACATGTATTGTACGTTCTTGATGCTGTGATATTTCTCGTGAACCCCAAACATGTGAAGTAAATGTGATAGTTTTTCTTTGCTTGTGTGTTATCTACTTACCCGTCCGGTCCCCACAGTCGGAAACTGAAAAGCCCGCAGTAGCCATCGGAGAACCCCTGCAGTTCGGGCTGGACCGCATGGCGGAACAACTTGGTGTTCTGACACACAGACGACATGCTGGCGACTATCCGCGCGCTCCCTGTGAGGATGACGATGACATACGATTTCCTATTTTATACATTATTGGAGAGTTCCCTTAACCTCCATATAGTATGCAACCATCCTGTTTTTAGTCCCCTTTAGTCACGAAGTGCTTGAACCATGGACTTACAAACACTCATCATGCCAGCTTTACGAATTGTAACCTATTTATCATCTCCATGCTTATTTAATAAAAAAACAGAGTGGAGGGAAATTGGACACGTTTGCCTGAGCTGACAATGTTGCTTGAGCTGCCAAATCGTGGTAACTCTTACTGGCACTATTCCTTCAGATGTCCCCTAGACTATAACCCAGCCGGCAGATCTCACCTAGTTCTCCTGGTTCGACGTCGAACGGGTCCGTACAGCTGCCCAGCTGCGGACTGTTCGTCAGTTCCTACAGGGTAATAAAGGAGTATCTTAAAACTATCACCAAATGAACATACCTACATGCATTAGAACGGCACTGATGGTATAATCTTCTTCTCGAAGGTAACTACTCCTAGGGAAGCAGATATCCGAGCGAAGTTCCATTTCATCGCAAGAAATGTCTTTATATTAAACATGGACGACAACCCCACATTCTCCCTTGATTAGCCCAATGAGTGAAAGTTATAGCGGTTGTTGTGCCTGAACAACTTCCTTAATGCTCCTTGTGTACGCATTTCCGGGTCAGAGCTCTTTGAGGTAATCTTAGTCTAACACCTGAATGGCCCTCGAGGTCTTGTCTACAACAAACTTAATCAAGTCTTTGGGGTCAAAGGAGTCACCTTGTACTAACACCATACTACGTGTACATGTACTACCTACATGTATGTTAACACAGTGGTAATTCAGTTGAAATGGTTGACATACTAAGTGCGTAATTGACGCAGGCGACTGTAGTGAATGTCAGCCCCACCCATGCATGCCCAGCCCTTACACACGCAGTCACAGTCAAAATACCGTGTTCCATATCCATGGCAGGTTTGTCGGACAAGGTTTCGGCTTTGTGGGACAAGAAGATTATGTGTGAACTAACGTGGTGTAAACATACGGGTACGTCAGAGGAAGAGCGGTCTTGAACAATTGGCTGGCACTGGGCCGTAACACAGGCCGGTAATGAAAACACAGCTACCGAAATGGCGTACACAGTAGCCTAGCAGTAAGGTACACATCCTAGGCACCTGGATATATGGTTGTGTGTGGAAGTCAACATGAAGTTCTAACGGCGTTGTCGCGAATTTTTCATGACACTTGCTTCGGGTTTTACCTGCCAAAATGGGAACAATGCCAATGTGATGCATGTGTTCATGGGATAAGTCTACCCTTTGGCATGTAGCAGAAAGTCTAAAGACCGATACCTGGTGCCTGTGCACGTTACGTTACCTTGGGTCGTCTCCAGAAGACCTGTCTGCCGGCCAGTCGCGGGTCCCCTCGGGGCGATATGGAGCGGTCTGCCGCCGGGAACTCCTCATCTTTGAACAGCGCCCCGTCCCTGAAGCACCTCTCCCTCAGCGCGTCCACGTTCAGTCCCACCTGTTGTCTCCTGGCGGCCATTTCTCGGTCCCAACTGTCCCTCTACTGTCAACAACCGTTGTGGTACGAGTTTGAAGCACTGCCGGGAAAACCACCAGCTCTAAGAAGACTCTAAGAGTGAAGACATGACCGCGAGCGGTCCTCTTTACCCGAAGAATGACTAGTAATATTTACCCGTAGTTGTTGGTGAAAGGTTCCACCCGGGCGTGACACACGGGTATTAATGACAAGGTGGGCAGGTCCTGTTTCATCCCGCCACTCAGCCCCAACGGGGAATGAATGGAGTCATTGCCACCGGACCCAATAATCATGAAGGCGCACATTAGCTAATTGCGCGCGCGCCTTGTTAGCAGTTGGCACGTCGGACAGGTAATGGTAATATCTGGCAGTATATACATTTGTATATTTATTTGTATATTTCGCCACATCCACGTTTTTTTACGGATAACGGGTTTGAACAAATAATCCACAGACAAGAATGCCTGTATTTCCAAGAGAGCTACACTTAAGTCTGTGGATGCAAACATTGACAAAACACCACAGTACGTGCTTGTGTTTAAAAAAAAGAACGATAACTAACTCGGCAGCATCCTCTTATATTTGTAGTTTCTAACCAGGCCTTCACTTTATTGAGATGAATTGTTCATTGTTCAGAAAACGTGAACCCTGGTGGTGTAAAGAGGAATTTCCAGACGCTCAGAAGTCATGCACCGCTGTGTACACCTAAACAAACCTGTGTAACGTGAGTGGAGTAACGATAGCCTCTTAAGGGCAACTCTCATAACCCGCCGCGCGGAGGATCAGGCGCTATTGTTCACGTAATCCCAGCCTGGAGCCTCGTAGTTTACATAATCTGATCCAGACCGAGTCAGCTCATTGGAACTTTTATTCCATCAAAATTCTAAGCATTCATACGTTTTAATACTGTGCACAGTTGTCGTAGCCTGGAGTCTAGCTCTGGACCACTCCCCGAGATCCGCTCCCCCGCCGCTGACTCCAGGCTACATTCGTCGGTAAACCTTAACATCTCTTTCTTACAGTCTCTTTATTCAGTGACTTACCTGACGAAATTGTTAACGAAGCTTTGGTCATCTGTGGCCACAGTTCCCACTTTTGAACACCCATGGATAAGTATTAATGAATCTCCAAATAGATATTGGAAGCTACACATCTGCCTACAGGGACCTGGAGGAACTTCTTTAGATAAATTGATTGAAACATGAGTCGCACGCAGTCGTACCTCCAGACACCTTTATTGATCGTGATAATATCGTCACCATTTGTTGAATTGTATCAATTACTTAAAGTTCCACCACTTTGGATATACAATGTCTCTAGCATAGCACTGTCTTACGTATTTAAAATAAAATGTGGTGCATTCCACATGGGAACCAAGGAAGTACCAGTAATCATTAACCAAAACTTTATGGCCACCTTGGTAGAAGTTTACAATGGGTGTGTGTTCCTGTTTCCTACAATGCTTTTATTGGCAAACATAGGTACATTCTCTGGCTTCCTATATCCACTAATGCACAGAATCATTAGTCATGTACTCTATACATGACATACACGAGAAAACAAGCAGCTTGATAGATTTTCAGAACTGTTACACACTGACAAAATGCTAATTGAACATAGGACAATTTGGAAAATCTATCCAGTCGCTTTAGTAGCAATTTTCTTGTGTATCTCAATACCCGGGTGTCTATCCTATACCTGGCAAATCATGGCAGTTAGGCCCAGTTAAACTGAGTTGTTTCGCTTTAGGATGGGACTGGAAGATAAATGCTGATTTTCCCAGACTGAGGTAGAGAGTTCACAGACAGCATTGGTAGCACTGCACATGGCCCCTTGCATTTCTCAGTCCCATACTAGTACTCAGACTACTGCACTGCTTGTGTCTCAAAGTGACACAGGACTACAACTACAAATGATGTGGGTGAACTTGTAAAAATGCAATTTTTGTATACATAGTTTCAAACTGAGCATATACTGCACCATATAGCACACTCTCTTCAGTGCTTTGTCCATTTTGTTCCCATTTAAGCATTTAAGTTTAAAATCCAGCTAAAAAGCTACAGATAGGCGACATGAGTGACACTGTTTTGATCAGTATACACAAGTTTAGAAAACATATTGTCAGAACCAGACATACAGTCTATGGCCTGCCATTTTGTGGTATACCTCTGTAGGAAATAGTATAGAAAGTCCCATTTTAAAAGTTTCATAAACCCAGTAAAACAGTAGAAAGAGACTATTGCAGTCCGTTGTCATGGTAACCACACAGTTGGAAGCACACATCTTACTACATTGTACTATAAATCCTTAAAAATCTCAATCAATATCATCATCACAGAATTACAATCACCAGAAATCACCATGGATTAGTTATATATCAACATCTTATTCACCATAGATCTTTTATATTATTATCATATCATTAACATAATTTAAATCTTCTCGTACACATTCACTTCCAAATCTGACACCTGCCGACACATCCTAAAATTGCATTGCAGGAATTAAATAATGCAAACCCCTTTGCCTGAAAAGAGTCTTTAAAACATAACATCAACACAACATCACATCGATCTTGATCAAAATTTACATTCATCAGCAGCAATCTGGAATGTAAAGAAGTTTTAAAGACTATAAACCTCTGTTAAATATGCAAAATTGCAGTTAAAAAACACACCAATTGCTAATAATATATATACCAAAGTGGTCTTTGATTACAAACTGTACTATTCCTGGTACACTTATGTTCCTAAAAACTGCTAAAATTCTATACCCCATAACCTGACTTCACCTTAACTTGATTACATCTTCTGACTTCTACGTAAAAAAAAACAAGAATTTCATTTAGCACAAAAAGTCACAAAATACCTATGAATTGATCCAGGGAGAATGCAAAGTATAGTTGGATAGTCATCTAATGCCAAAACACTAAAACACCTTCAATATTACACTATTTTTGCTACAACACCAACCCTTTTCACGTATTATATATTACTGTGGCTATGTTGGGCAAGGGTTTTTCCATTGGTCCACTCTGCATGTGCAAGGATGGTCAACTCAGGAGTACATGGTAACTGTCAACCACTGAAAGAAACAGAAAGGAAACCAGTTAGTACAACATTCATCTTAATGCAAGCTTAATCATTTAGGATGCTACCTAAAAACTTTTTTAAAAATGGAATCTGAACAGGAGTTGAAGACATCTGAAACTTGAAGATATATCTTATACAAAAAAAAAAGAATGTTTGCAGAATCCTTAAAGGCAGGTTGTTCCCTATCTTTCTTTTGATATTTAAAAATAGAGTTTTCTTAAATAATGGCTTCATTCATTCATGTCTTGAAATTAGAACAGCATTAACCAGCATATCCTAAATACTGGAAACTGCTTTGGATATAATTCAGACTAGGAAGAACTATGTGAGCAACTTTGGTGAAAATATCAGGATTTTGCAATTTCGATAATGGAAAAAATACTTACATCCTCCAGTCCTAGAGTAGCCATGTTTCCGTCCATGAACGATGCAAAAGCCTCTGTTGGTGGCAAAAGACAAGATCTCATAAAAAAGAATCACCACAATGCAATGACACTCATCAAGCTGTCCTGTACAGAAATTATCTACTAAATTTAAAAAATCTTTTTGGGTTTTTGGATGTAGTTTTGTCAAAATACATTCAAAGAGAGATTAAAGTGAAGTATACACTCAAAGTTAGCAATTGCATTTGAAATAGCCTGTAAAAAGCATTTAAACAGCCAATTCTAATTATATTAGAATTGAAACAACTGTACTTACTAAACATGGCCTTGAGGCGAATGGTGAGGGCGATGAAGTCTGGGAAAGAGATTGTCTGGTCATCAGCCTGGTAACGCAGCACGATCTGCTGGAATATCGTGTTCTTCAGCTTGAACCCTGCAGATGGAAGAACAAAAACCAAACATTTTCAAAAGAATGAAAAAGATAATTCATGGCAAGTGTGATTTTCCAAAATATGGGGTGAAACGAAAACTGCAACTCGTCTATTTTCTCTAAAATGGACCCTCCGCAAATTCCACACTGAAAAATTGTACCCCACAAACCCATCTACACACTAAAAGCTCATTGCATTGTCAGACTATCACAAAGACAAGCTTTCCATAGCAGCAATACAGAACCTTCTAATCTGCAGGTCACCAAGTAGCCAACCTGTCTTCCTAGAAGTTCCTATACAAGTAGTGTCTGTCACTCACCCACATGCTCCAGAGCTAGTCGGAGTTCATATGTGTCAAAGTCTCCAGACTTGTCAGCATCGAACATCTTGAACACACCCTGAAAATCAGACATAGGTTTCTGTGTCAGCCTGGCTTCTTCTACTGTACTTCTGTCGCACAAAGGGAGGCACAGAGGTCTTATTGTCAGCAATGCAACTATTTGCCCAATGACATGTCTAGTACACAAACTGTTCATTGTAAAGGCAGGGCATGTTTACATAAACTTCACAGTCACACAGTTGTCAGATGTGTCTTGAAACCCCTTCATCTTTCACTTCAAAAAGTCTCATGCAGAACAAGTACATACTGTTGTACTTACTGTCCACAGCTTGATGTCTGACCACAAGTCAAAGAACTCATCGAGTCCGAGCATTCCTGACTTGTCGTCCTGAGATGCGGTTAAGGTGACAAAACAGGGCAGAAGAATTACAGGGCTCAAGGTATTTTGTTTCTTAAGATTTGAACCATTTTTATTCAATGAGAAGTTCAAATCGGCATGCAGGCTGTTTTTCATTGAGATCATGAGGGAAGAGGTACGGGTAAGACAAAATATATAAAAAAGATAAAGTTTACATCATTCAGGAAAATAGTTGTTGTGCAGGCATTTCTGATGTCTGAACCTAACCTGCACTCGTCCATGATAAAACCAGCCCATGACACTAGGGTGACTTTTTTTTTTTTTTTTAATGGTGTCGCTCAATGCAAGGCCATTGGCCACTTCTAGGCATAGAGCTAGCCTGTAACTGTAACAGCAACTCTTCTCCCTGAGTCAGAAACAACCTCACAAGTAGTGAGGACTAACTGACCCAATAGGAGAAGCAGGGGTTACGAGACTGGTCGGGAAAATTCCCTACCCCTTTTTTTAGACCATAATGGTTTGTTCCACTTCCGCTCACGTGGGTTCTTTAACGTGCTTGAGGTGTGTCTCTCTTCAAACACGGGACCTCCATTTTTAACGTCCCATCCGATAAGACGCCCCTAACCGAAGCTAGGTACTCATTTTCACCTGAGTGAAGTGAGGAAAGTCGTGTAAAGTACCTTTCCCAAGGGTACAACGTCGCGGCGCATGTTCGGACTTGTTCGGGTACGACCCGGAATCGAACCCGGGTCTCCCATAGTCCAGTGATGTACCACTACACCACACGACGCCAGGTAAGATGCCAGTAGTGGCCCGGAATCCTAGTAGCATTCTTGAATATGGCATAAAGCAGTAAAAAGGATACATCCATGAGGGCCACCATGGAACGGCACAGCTCCAAGTTGAACCCACTGAATTCAAAATAGGACAGCTCTGCAGGGGATGAACAGAGATTTAGTAAAATCCCTCGACTGTTAAGAAAGACTGTTGTTGAAAAGTACATTATTGACATTATTGTCATTGTACTCTTAAATGTTCTGTGACATTTTATACAGATTTACGAACATTATCATTATTAAATACTTATTTCAAGTAGTTCAAGTTGCCAAGTCACCAATATCATGTTTTGGGATCTGCAATCCTAAAAGGAATGATCACCTTTTCTCAGTGCTTGGTCCAGCATCTTTTTCAGTTCAAAAGCATCAATCTCCATATCCTGTGGGTATCAACAAACAAATTTTGAAAGTTCATCTGTGGTGGTAGAATTCATGATGAGCAATCTACAAATTCAATGACTTCACTTTGTGTACATGTTCTATTTGCATAAAGTGATGTCACAGAAGTAGTGGATTGCTCATTCCTTGACAAAAACTGCTGTTCAATAAAAAACTTGGGTCAATCCCTATTTTACTTTTCCTTTGTGCTGGGAAGACCCCAGACATATTTTTACTAAATGATAAAAATAACAAAGAAATGAATTTACATTGTGTAAGATCAACTTGCGTTGGAAGAAAAAAATACTCATTTTCAAAACTTGGCATTGATATCAACATGTGCAGATCAAATCAATGCACAGTTACAGACTTCACTGTGATATAAAGCCATACTCACTTCCCCAGCAATGCTCTCAAAGAACTTGGTGAAGGCAGACTTCTCCTGCTGCTCCTTCTCCAGCTGTTTGGGGGTTTTGGGCTAAAGAGGGAGACAGAAAATACAAAATGAGCCTCACAAATATCTATGTTTGATGTAAGCTATACTATGCTACAGGTGTACATGCATCAGTGACTTTCACAATTGAATGATTGGTGCAGACTTAAACACTGTAATCTGTGTTGCTTTTAACACAAAGAGACAATAAATGTCCATGCACATGAAGCATTTAACATTTTGAAACAAACAAACAAAACAAAACAAACAGACAGGTGGACAACCATGCTGATCTCAGTAAATCACAGTCCATGCAGTGTCAGTTGTCAGGTATCTGACTTTGATGGCGATCAATGATTCGGTGATGGTTTAATTTTTTTCTTTGCACACCGAAATGGGAACAAACCTCCAACACCGCTAGTACTGGGTCTTTCTCTTTGGGTAGGACATCAATCTAGGTCATGACGTCATCAAATACAGGTAATACAAATGTCAAATGTAATAATAAAGAAGGAGATAAAGAGTTTTTCAGTCTGCAATGTTTGGGTGTCAACCTAAGTTTAGTATAACTTAGCAGTCCAACATAGATTACTGTTCATACAACCTACATGTACATGTGACAAGCATGCATTTAGGTTATATGAAGTTTTTAAAAGCTCAACCACGTTATGATGATTTATGATGATCTAACCTACTGGAACAAAGAAATCATGCTGGGCAAGAATGTAAATGACTGCTCTGACAAAATACTAAGAGACTTAGTTGTTTTACTTACCACCTGAGGGATCTGGACCACTTGTGTTTCATCATCTATCTCCCTGTAACAATGTACAAAAGCACTGTCAAGTCAAATGGTAACAATACCCCATATCAACAATTACTTGATGTCCCAAAGTGACTCATCATACACATCATGTTCTTGTACCTTGGACCCCATACATGGTCCGAAATGACATATTGTATCACTTGTTTTGGGTGACCTCTTATTGCAAAATCATGTCATCACAAATATGTGTTTTTAAACATGGTAGCCATCTCAGAAGAGACATTTGATGATAACCAAAGTTACACAGGCCAAGTTACTTATAATGCATTAGACAATGCATCGTAATTTTACTGACTTGGTTTCGATACTCTTCTCCGTGTAGATCCTCAGCATGAACTCTGCCTCCTCCCCTGGCTCAAATGTAGATGGGATGATGACGTACTCTCCTGGGGGCAGTTTGTATCTTGGGAAGAAAGGACAGGGAATTGTTGTTTTTTCATTCTTGATTTTACAGATTGAATTTTTATAAATAATAGGATAACATAACTTGAAAACATCCATATAAACATCCATAATACATATAATACATAATATTATCAAAACTCAGGTGAAAGGAAAAAGAAACTGATCCTAAATCAAGTAACATGAATTCAACTGGTGCAAGCAATGTGGTAAATTTTGATAGAAGAATAAAAAATTAGCAGTTAGCAAATCTAAGCTGTTGTTAAGTTAAGTAAGAGACAGAGTTTCCCTGTACCTCCCACAGATCTCCCTGGTGTTGATGAAGGAGGGGGAGCGAGCCACAGACTTGTGGTACATGAAGTACTCCTTCTTCAGGGTCTCACAGTTGGGATCCTCCAGCTAAACAGACAGAAAGTCATATTTGCAAGTTATTAACACATTTTTAATTATTTGTTTATCTTCCTGATAAACCAGCAAACAAACAAATGTTAAATTAGTAGTAACTGAGTAACTGCTTTTTGGCGTAAATGTTAAATTAGCCTGGTGTCCATGCATTTTGTTCGGATAACTGTAGGTTACCCAAATTTGAAAACGTAAAATGATCAAAAGGACATGTACATGATACATTTAGTTTAGAAGAACAAAACTTAAAATATTGCTACATGATAATGCCGTTAATGATATTCGCAGACTCGGTCATTCATTTGATGGATAAGGAGCTGACCAAGACTTAATGACACTGTATACACCTCAGGGCGGGTCATTAACCCTATATTAACCAGCGAGTTACCTCATAGATAGCGAATCCGATGGTGAGCATGCCTGTGCCCATGACCTTCTCAGCACGGCGGCTCCGCTGCATCAGAGCGATGATGACACTACAGGCGACCTCATCGTCGTCAGGGTCAGGGTCATCGGCGGCGTCCAGCGTGATCCGGTACTGCGGGTTGATCCAGAACGTGTCTGCAACAAGAGCGGGACATGCACGTGATATGGAGTCTGAGCAAGCATGCACCCTGAACGTAATGCCCATACTGAATCAGGTGGTTGCAGCAGAATAACACCATTCTGGTAGTTGTTGCTTGACGTTGCACCAGAATGATGCTGTTGCATATGACTTCTCTTTCAAGACACAAGTACAATAGTATGGATATTATATACGGAAATACGATCTTACATATACATGTATTCTGGGTACATGATGTGGACATGACTTGTTATGCTGAATAAACAATTAGTAAGCTAACTTACATTTAACTACTTCAGAAGACATGCACCATGTCATGATCAAGTGAACCACATCAGCATCATGTAAAGGCATTCTTCCAATTTGTAACATTAAGAAAAGGTAAAGAACATGACTGGTGCAGGTGTTTTGCCCACCTGGGAAGTTCCTGCAGCCCCCGGCCGTGGCCCCCCTCTGCCACTTCCCCTCCCTGCAGCGACGTCACCCACTTCATCTTCTTCTTCTTGGGATCGTCCTCACGCATGGCGTCCGGCGGCAGGTTACAGATCTCCAGCCGCGTGAAGTTGGTGTGCCAGTCCTCAAAGTCCATCCTGAGGAAGGGAGGAATTTCTTTGATGAAGCTTAGACATCCAGCTAATGAGATACACAAGAAACTGTGACTCCAGCAACTGGATAGGTTCTGAAAACTGTCAAACGTTTCCAGTAGTATCCACTACTTTGGCCATTTTTCATTTTAGCTAAAGACTATCACTATCAGATACTTTAGGCAACACACAATAACTATTCAATTGCCTCTATTATCTCTAATATTTTCAATTAAAAAACAAGACTACCTACATGTATCTGAATCACTAAAAATCCCAAAGGACCCTTGAGCTTACCAGAACTCTCCATCATCCCCAAAGTTCAGATCCCCGTCATCATCTGTGTTGAGTTTTGCCTTCTGCTCACTGGACAGCAAATCCCACTTTGGAGACCTGTCATGAGGCACAGAGGTCAAGTTAACCAGAAAGGTTGGATTTAAAGATTGTAAATTAATCCCTTGTCTTTGACCTTTCTTGTCCCAGAGACGCACGTGGAGTTCCCCTTTATTGATATTGATGTACATCAGTCCACAAGCTTCAGCCTCACTGAAAATGGTGAGTTCTTCTTATAAGTTGGATGAATTACTCCCTGGTAATTTTGTGACAACGGAAGACTTTTTTGTCTTATGAAAACAATTATTAAAAAGGATTGAACCTTGAATGTGGTGCACTTTCATACCCACTTTTGGGGCTTCTGATTATTTTACAGGCTTGTATGCAGAAATAATAGGAATTCAATTGTAATAGTCATCATTATATATCAGATTATTCTTCTGACACTTTTCCCTATGTAAAATGTAAGAACTCATCACTCACTCGTCGCTCCAGTCTCCCATCCACTCCACAGATCCCCACGGGTTCCGCACACGGATCAGGTCAATCTCCTGACCTTGTACGTTCACCTGAAGTGGGGAAAGGAGGCAGAGGAGAGTGTTAATGTTGTACAGTCCTAGTGTCTTCATTTTATTCTTCCAAACAACACCTTCAAATTACAATGCTCACAGGTTATGGCACTCGAATGTCAAGCCGTTTGGTCAATGATAATTCCATAAGAAAACAGTTACTCAAGCACTGGATAGAGTTTGAAAACTGTCAAGTAGCATCCACTGACATTTTTGTTAGTGCCTGACAGTTTTTTAACTCTGCCAATAGCAATGTCATAACTGCAGACTGTGAGCCTTACCTTCTGCAAGCCCGTGATGCTGTAGGCATGGCCCATGACAAGTCCATTGTCCAACTTAGAATCAATGGCATTTGGATCCGCCTATGTACATAACAGGATAAAATAGGGAAACTGAAGTGAACATTTATGTGGTAAAATGCATTGATTAAAGTTGCTAAATATGAATCTTCTCACATAAGACTTTCACACAGTGCAATTCTCTGTCTTATGATTACTTTAAAAATGTGAGGATGTTTGTTTAAAGTTACATTTTGCCACAGCTTCAGCAGACAGACACAGTTGTTTCAGCACCACGGAGAAAACCTGGGCACAGCTGTAGAGCACCCAGCACTCCCATCAATCATTGCATGCACTACTTAATAGACTTCAAAGCTTAACAGTCATATCATGACTGTATATTTGATTTCTTACTCTCTGATCATGATACGTACTTACATGTACATGTATACTCTGAGCATTTCTATGTGCAAAAGAACACAATATTTGTGCAATGCCCTGCAAATTAACGCTCAATATGATGATCTACCTTCATAGTGGTGTGCCTAGATTTTTGCTGGTGCACCCCAATTTTTTGGGTTGGGGGCACCAGTGCTCCAAGTCAAAAAGTTAGTCTGTAGCCCTGCCATCCTCACCTCCACAGAGCAGCCCATGAGAGAGCTCCTCATCATGGCCTTCTCCACGATCTTCAGCAGGTCCTTGGGGGCGTTGCGCAGGTCCATCCCCTCCGTCACTCCTCCGGTGAAGTCTTCCATCGCCTCCGTCACACTGCCTCCCTTCAGGGCTTCATAGGACCCATACAGCCTGAGCAACAAATCAGGAAGTCACAAAATGTGTTTGGTATACACTGTACTTTAAATTACAGTGCTATGAATCAACTCCAACAATGTCGCAATGTTGGGTTTTATTCACACTTACAATTAATGTATGTGTAATTACAATGTTGTTTGTCCGTCTTATATGTATGCAGAGCTCAGAACTTCATGTTAAACTTTAAAACAATAATATCTAACAAGTCTAACAACATTGGCCATACATTTGAATCAATAGGCACATCTTCATGACATCATCATGGAAGGAAAAGTCAATCCTGCCTTATCTTAATAGAATATCTTGATTGAGAGTCAACATTTGCTTCTATCACATCCACCTATTTCCTACACTAATCCTGTCATTACACGTAAAGCAAGCCATTTTTGAGAACTAAATGCTATAGAGAGTTGTTCCTCACTTGGCGTATGCCTTCTCCAGCAGAGCGCTCCAGTACTCGTTCTCCTCAGCAGAGTGCACGAAGGTCAGCCTGTTGTTGAAGGTGGGGAGTTGGTCGTCCACCACCACCTCTGTCCACGTCCCGTAGTGCCAGAAGTTAAACCTGAAGCAACCTGGAGTAAAGAAAGTCTCAGAGGTTTGTATACAGGAAATTTGTTTTCATTATGGAACATCCCATACATACACATGTAGCAATTTCTACAAATTGTCTGCATTTCTATGACTTCTTAAAGGACAGTGTATGACAATGGACATTTCTCTGTCTTGTTTTGATCATGAAATTTGATAAAATGACTTTTGACAAATCATAGATTTACCAACGTATCCTTTTGCTATTTTTTTTACTCATTGGTCACCATATAACAAGACCCAAAGGCCACTTAAATGTGTTACCCGAAGGCCACTCCAAGGTTACAGGTTACATGAATCAGACTGTAGCTACAGCATTTCTTCTCTATAAGCTTGTCAGAAACATCATAATTGAGACAAGCTAGACTCACTGAGAGTGAGAACTTTTAAGTTATTAGGCTGTATGTATATGTAACCTTAGCCGAAGAAAAGGATTTTTCTATACCTCTAATTGATGAAAGTTTTACATGGCGAGAGATAAAATCATAGCCATACTTACCCACATAGTCGCCTTTCTGGAAAGACTGATCAGGAGGCACGACTCCAAACAGCAGGGACTCATTCATGGACAAACAGGCGATGGCAGCCAGGAACCAGCAGTCACCTAGCAACATACCAGTACAGAACATCACTCATCATTGACTGGAGAGAGCTGTAAAGGTGCTTTAATAGGTAGTTTTAGATTTAGTCAAAGTGTATTGCAAAATTACGTGTGATACTAGTTTGAGTCATAACCTTGTAGTCATACTTACAACTTAAATACATATTTAGATTTACATATAGGAACAGAGTTAATATTTGGCCCTAAGTGTAACCCTTGACCAACTTGACACCAATGAAGCAATTTGTCATATTAAGTATTGACATTCCCAGATAAGATTAACCACACACAGAACCAATACTTTTGATAACCTCTGATAACCCGAATTGGTCATAACTTGCCACTGCCCCAAAACCACAGTGCTTCAAACTTTGAGCCAACAAAAAAGCTGTTAATTTATTACATGTATTTGAGGCATATTGAACTTCAGCATACACTGATACAAGCTACAAACTTATTCTTTTAAGAGCACTTAGTAGTGCAAAACTGTTAAATTAGCCTTATTTAGTTCTTATAAAACCAGAAGATGACATACTTATGTGCTGTACCATGTAGAACTGTTGTACATTAAAGTTTTTTTCATTATAATTACCTAATTCTCCCTGACAGATGTCAAACCTGCTGGCTCCGCCCACAAACAGCTCTGGATTGTCCGTGATCTCCTGCAAGGGAAGAAGCACAACATTACTTCCTGTTGACAAGTGCTGTGTAGCTAAACCCACATTTAGGTTCAGGTCTGGATTCAAGTCCAGAGGTTTAGGTGCAGTTCGTGACTCGTAAGTCCAGACCTTAACCCATGGCATATACAAAATTGCATGTTGTCAACCTTGCATTGTTGTATGGGCAAAACTGTGGCACATAACATGGAGGCCGACACTTGACCATGCCCGATGGCAATGTTTTCTTCATTTTGTAGCACAGATTTTGCAATAGATGGAAGATTTTAAGGTGGTTTGGAAAGAAAAGGGGTATTGGACATTTTTTTGTAGTAAGTCCAGAATCAGTTCTTGACTTTAAAGGCTTTTTGGCCTTGAACCTTAACATTTTTAGTAAATTTTACAAGTCCGGGACCGGTCCAGTGAACTGGTACACAGCTCTACTGTTGATACAAAACATTACAAACATGCCCTTAGGTTGAATGTTGAAAGACTCTACAAGTACACAACAGAAACCTCACTGTCACACATATGACCCAGTAAATATCTGGGTAAAGTTAAGGTCCCATAACAGCTTTTTTGAGTCCACAGGGGCAAAAGTTGTGTCTTGGGCATAGTATAAGGAGGTGTAGCTCATGCCTTGCCAGGAATAAAAGATATCACTTGAATTCTACTTCAACTTGCCTTGTCGACAGACATTTAATTGATTATTCTATCTAAATTATTCTATCTGACAGTGTGTGTCAACCTTTATCTCATTAGTGATTCCACCCCTCTAGAATCATGCAACTTGAGACTTTATCACCTCAGCCTAGATTCCTGTAATTAAGCTCATCTTGTATGACCTCTAACATCGTTACCTGCAATTAGTGATAACAGCAGATGTATCAAGCCCATAGTGGAGACAACCGAGTGAAAGTAATGACATCTTTTTAGTACCATGACTACCTTAACTTCCATAATTGTGGTGTGGTTGGCATTGTTCCAATTAGATACACCATACATATTCAAACCATTGTCCAACATGTATGAGTTACATTTGCCACAATGATAGTTTTATTCAAATGATAAACAGCCAGTATATTCACTTCAGTAGCTATCAACTTCAACACATGTGCATTCATATTTACATCACGTCCTGAAATAACCTCGTGCGTGACCTTTCTGATATGCCTAAGGGTTTGCACAAAGGTTTTTAATACTTTTTTTCTTTTTTGTCATTATTCTTACATGTAAGGCCACACCAATTTAATTTGTTGGTTCTCGAATTTTTTCAGAAAAAATATGAAGTGACAGGGCGAAAAAAATAAAAATAAAAACAGGTCTAAGGCATCCTATTATAGGCTTAAATGCTACAAAATGAGCCATGAAGTCAACACAAAAGGCTGGGTTAAAATTTAAACATTGAATTTTGAACTTTTAATCAAACCACTGCAATGATAGATGGGAAAACTGTAACAACTAGGAAGAAAAGGACTTTCCTCAACTGTTGGGGGGCAAAACATGAGCATTTTTCA